GTGTGACGTCATGGTGTTCCCCCCCCCCCCCCCCCGCTGCCTCTTGGGGAAGGTCAGGGGATGTGTCCCGTGGCCCCTGCCCACGAACAGAATCACTCCCGGGGGCTCCTGCCACCGTCTTCTTCTCAAAAACGAGAGATCACGGGAGGAAGTGGAATTCCAAAAACAGCATCCGTGACAAAAATAACAAAGAGTCAATAAAGATAAGTTCCAAAAATGTTTACTGTAGTAATTTCTGTAAAATAATTTCTGTGAGCGATAACAGAAGAAAGTTTTCTACAGAAATTACTACAGTAAACATTTTTGCAACTTATCTGTATTGACTCTTCATTCTTTTTTGTCACGGATGTTGTTTTTGGAATTCCACCCTCTTGTTCTCAGCCTGCCCCAGATTCATCCGGAAACCTGCTGCTCTGTCGTGTTAGAGGCCCTCACCAATGCTACCGACGGCAGACGTTTGAATGGTATTTTTTTAAAGATTCCAGTGTTTTTTCCCCTAAAGAGCGTGAGAAAGCGAAGTGGTGAAAATCCACCAGGCAAAACCCCGTCATAGCTTAGTGGGACGAGTCCTGGGAATGGTTTCCAGGTAGCTGGGAAGCACCCGGCAACGGCTCTCTGGTCACCTGGCACTGTAAAGCCTTTGTTCCCCCACCCTGCTGGCCCTGGGCCAGCTCCACTCCACATCTTCCGCCGCTTCTCTGGGGAGGCCACCGTCAAGGGCTGCTCACTTAGGAGGGCCCTCCGTGGGTCACCCTCTTCTCTGAGGCTGCCGTGTGGCGTGTTTCCTGGCTTGGCTTGGCTAGGTAAATAATCGTGCCCTTGAGATGACTCTGCCTGCCCGCTCTGGGAAGCGGCAGATACTTAGCAGACCTACTGCAGTCACATGGTCCACCGTCTGGCTTCCTTCTGAAAAGAGGTGGTGGGGGGGGGTTGTTCTGTGGGAGGGGCTACAAGTCTCCTCCAGGCAAAGTTTACTTATTTTTTATAGATTTCAGAAAATGTATACGGCACTTTTCCATACCAGTGAACGCTCGCAACGGCTCAGAGGGTATCTCCCAGGGTTCTTTGGGCAAAGCTGTGACTCTCTTGGCCAGCAGTTGTAGCCTTTTCCATAGAAAGCGGAGGGAGGGCAGGCCAGAGTCGCTTTGGGGGCGTGGCTCAGTGGCAGAGCCTCTGCTTGGCATGCAGAAGGCCCCAGGTTCAGTCCCGGGCAGCATCTCCAGTTAAAAGGACCAGGCAGGAGGTGATGGGAAAGACCTCTCTCTGCCTGAGACCCTGGAGAGCCATTGCTGGTCTGAGTAGACAATACTGACCTTGATGGATCAAAGGTCTGATTCGGTGCAAGGCAGCTTCATGTGTCCATGTGTGTTTATGTGCTTTTTGCCACCTGAAGCTTAGCTTGGAGTTGCCACAAGCTTCGTATCTCACTCGGCAGGACAAAGACCCAGACCTCTCTCCAAGGCAGAGATGGACTCACTGGGCTCAACTGGAAGCGAAAGCACAAGGAAAGCGTGTCGTTGGATGTGACCCTCCTGGAGGGCTTTTCCCTGGCTATGCCCTGAAAGAGGGGCTCCTGTACAACCCCATCTGCCACCTACTTTGGAGAAATCCCACCTCATTCCAGTTCTCCAGAAGGGTTTGCTGAGGCTTGGCAGGCAAAGCAGAATTTTAAGGATGGGTGTGTGTGAAGAACAGAGCGGGGAACAGGCATGTCTGTGCATATGTGTGTATGTTGCAGTCACTCTGGGCTTTCTAGCCTGCATTGCTAACAGATCTGCCCTTCTTTCTTAAAAGCACAAGCTTTAGCTAGCAACCTCTTCCGAAAATGTAGACCTTGTAGGTTTGAAGTCCTGGGAACGGGGAATCAGCCAGCTTTTCCTGGTGGGGCGGGGCCCATCCTTGCCAAACTGCATAAGGAGCAATGCCCTTGAAGTGGGGGGCGGGGGGGCCACCAAGCTTAGCAGAGTTCTTGCATCAGTCCACTTAGTGTGAGGAGCTGTCTATGTCTGGATGTTATTGATGGACTTGGAGAATGCGTGGGGGGGGGTGGCAGTGAAAGAGATGATTGGCTGAGTGAGTGGGGCTCGGGCAACATGAGTGGCCCCTGCAGAGAAGCTTTGGTCCATGCCGGTGCCCCCCATCGGCACACCAGATGGAACCGCAGCCAATCCAGAGCCACGCGGGACACCTCCGTGAAGCACACACCCCTTGTTAGGTTGCTGCATGGTTTCCTTCTTCCTTCTCTTCACCTCTGTGAAGACTGCCCTTGACTTTCCCTTATGGTGGAAACTGGACAAAATCACTCTGTCCATGGGTGACCCTTTAGTGTTCCAGAATCCCCCCCCCTTTTTTAAATTAAAAAAGCTAGCTGAAGAATCCTGCCCGGTATCTGCTGCCTGTGCTCTGAGAGGCCACGTTTTGGCCACTTTATAGCAATGTTGTTGTTATTGGGGGGGGTGGAGGAAAGATTTTAAATACAAAGAAAATGTTATTTATTTACATGTATTTATTGACTGTGTGTGTGTCCTAATTCTCTCTCTCTCTGTGCGTGTGCAGCATTATGCAAACAGAGATGTCGCTTTCTCAGAGTCAGAAAACATAATGTGTAAATGTTTATCATAAAATTGCATCTGTCTCGATATACTTATGGATTATATAGATCAAATATTATTATATGTACAGTATAGAATATATATGTGTGTGTGTGTGTGTGTGTGTGTGAGAATTATGCAGGGCACTAACAAAGCATTGAATTTAGAAGTATCTGCTTGTCTTGGGAATGCCCCCTGCCCCTTATATGCCAACATTGTCTTTGGGGCTGTGGAATCCGTCATTATTCTGTTATCGTTTCGAGGCTGGAGGCAGATACTTTTTGGAGAGACTGGAAGATACTTTTGAGAGAGGCGTCACTCACTTCCCCGGGCTGAAGAATACCCCCCCCACACGCACACACACACACTGCCTTCTGTTATTGCCTCTGATGAAAAGATTTGGGGCCACTACAGAATCCAAGACAAACTCCTTGGCCAGACAGGCAGCTGTTGGCTCACAATTACTCAACATGTACGATGCTGGGAACCGGTTAGATTTGACTCCAGGAGCACCTCTGAGACCAACAAAATTGGGGGAGGGGGTATACATCGTACCTGGCGAAGGGAGGTTTGCCATTTGAGAGTTCATCCCCCCCCCCCCCAAGTCTAGTTGGTCTGTCGGGTGCTCTTGGACTCTTATCCCGCGGTCTTGCTGCAGCCCAGCACGGGAACCGCGTGAGCAAAGCTATCTGAGGATTTGTTTTCCTCCAAAAAGCAGGCGTGTAGGGGGCAATGCCCCCTCTCAGCTGTGGAGTCCTGTGAGCAAAAATTCTACTTTGTGAGCTGCTGGCATTAAAGTTGTGAGCGAGCGATTGGGCTGCTGCATAAATTAGTCTGCTCTCTGGAGCCCCATCCTTCCTGAGCTGAGACAAAATGGGTGAGCCGGAGGCTAAAAAACTGTGAGTTAGCTCACACTAACTAAGCTTAGAGGGGACACTGGTTGGGGGGGGGGGAGCACAGCCTCTTTCCCAGAGCGAAAATAGCTCTGGGGCAGTGTTCCCTCTAAGTCGAGTTCGTGTGAGCTAGCTCCCAGCTTTTTAGCCTCCGGCCCCCATATTTTTGTCTCCGCTCAGGAAGGATTTGGCTCCAGAGCAAACTGATTGGTGCTCTGTCCTCGGCTCCCCCCCCCCGCCCCCTTCACATGCTGCTCTTCCGTCCTCTGTGCCTGAGTCACCAGCAGGAGCCTCTCACTCCCAGCATCCTTCAGCTCTCTCGCTTCCAGGGGTCAGCCGGAAGGGCTCCACTCAGGCCTAAACTTAAGAAAAAAGAATGAA